GCTTTAATTGACGAGTTGTTGATTAGATTTAATGACGTATGTGCAAGGAACATCAGCTATTCCACACATGTTTGTTCACATTATCATTATTTATAGCAGTTCTGATTATAAACAATGATGCATTTTATTGCAAAGGCCAAGGTCTCGGTTCACTCACAATAATTCCACATCCCACAAAAATGAAAAAGACGACATTTTTCACGACTTTCCAATGAGCTTTATATAAAATAATGATAATCAGTTTGGCAAATATTTTAATTCTATTCGACGATAAATTAATTCAATATTTAACTTTTTTTTTAATTTGCATTTTCAACCATAATAATTTTTCATTAATCTAGCATTTTGAAATTTTATTCAGTTTTTTTTTGTCATGTCACGAATTTTGAAAAAAAAAGTTCATTTGCATTTGGTACATAAAATAATGCTTAAAATAATTATCACATCATAATGCCCGAACGCAAATTATTAAAATAATGGATTTTTTGTCCATTCCTCTTTGGTCATTTAATTATTCGATGAATGGCGATGAAAATTAGTGGTAATATTACGTGGCTTTAAAAAAATGTTCCAAAAATTAATTTATGTATTGCATGCAATGTCTCCAATTGTGAATTGTGATAAATTATATAGTTTGTTGGTCAAGGGAAGTGAAACTTACTGTTTTAGGGTTGTTTATTTATTGACTTCTTTGGTTGAAGAACATACCCGAATGGTACAAGTACGTTAGTCGAATAGAAATCTGGCGCCAAGTTTGCATGACTCTGGCTTCAATTTAAAAACAGCACCATGCCAGAGTCACACTGGCTTGGTGACGGATTTTTGATCGATTAACCGACTTGTGCCATTCGGGATATATAAGCTCATTGCCGTTCGTTGAGAATGTCTAGAGACTGGTTCTATCATTTAAAAACTTTTGAGAGATCCGGACGATAAGGAACTTGATATTTTACCTTCTACATGCTCCACAACTGTTTGAGGATTAATAAACCTTGGTCTGACTTAATTGTAGTTTAATTTTGAATTCCTTGATCACTCACTCCTTGTATCAGCAAGCTGGTCAAACAGATAGCCTCCCTCTTCTCATATGCAACTTCTAGCTACACCCCTGGATCTCTCTTTAGCATGCACAACAATTCATACAAATTGGTTTTATCGCTCCATTCGTCAAAGGAATAGCTGATAATTGATAATTTATATTGAGTTCGAAATTGTTGATATTTAAATGATTAAATGCACACAAATGATGTAGTTCAGTTCAATTCAATTAACATTGAGGACATACAATATTCAATCTAAATGAACAAAAGGAAATGTAGGAGGTACAACACAATAGCCGCTTATTTCTCTGCCATATAATTATCACTGAAAGCTGTTAATTTCAGAATCAAAGTAATTTTAGGAAGGGGACTTTCGTTTCTGATTGAAATTCTAATTGATACCTTGAACAGTTTCAATTATTTGCAGTTTGAATTTCATGCATGAATAGCACAACTGAATAATTATAGATCTCTGAAAATCAATTAATTTCTGCAAATCACAGGATAGTTTAGTCATGTTCTCAAACAACAATGTGATTCTCAGCTCAAAACAGACACAGTTCCATCCATTTTGACACGTAAAATTTCATTTCTTTTTAGGCAATTTATAAAAATAAAATACATTTATTTCCTACCTTTCACATGCCTTCCACTTCATCACACACACAAAAAAAAAAATTCAAACTCAATTCAATTCATTGGCAATAAAAATTTGCAATTTTATTGAGTAGATATAAGAAGTGCCTTTGTACATACATAAAGAGTATATCATTTGAAATATCTATGAGCTTACATCGAAGAAGGAGGAAAAAGAAGGTGGAAATGCCGAACTTCCTCAAAATTTTTATGATTATTATTTTTATGTCGATTGGATGTATATTTTTGAGATATCAAATGATGTCTTTTTTTTGGGTTTCAAATTCAAAAGGGAAATGAGAGTAGAAGGGTTGAAATGTGACCAAAGATGATTCTTTTGAGATGCGAATCATGTAACCTAAATGACTTCCTGGTAGTGATGTAGCTAAAGAAGGGTCTCTTGCTTCCTAATAAGTTTCGCTGGGTTTTAAGTGTAAGTTCCGTGTGGACAACATTTGAGATAATTTCAATGTGTGACAATCAGGTTCCTGATCAATTTATTAAGCCAATACCATTAGATATATGACTAGAAGTCATAATAATGATTTATTTTTTGGAACTTCATAGACATACGCACCCTTATCAAAAATCCAAAAAAGCTCATGCATTTCAAGTGACGTAAATTGATGTAATTTCGAGTTCATAGACCTTCCTCACAGTAAGACATCGATACACCATTTACCTTAGAATTCCATCAAATTTGTCTCTTCATTTTATTTTTATCGTAATGTGACTTTTTTTTTTGCGACCGTAAGCAATATTGAAATGTTGTCAGAGAAACTTTTACTCTGTCGCATTTATTTTTATGCGTTTCTATGCCATACAGACACGACATGACTAAATCGTCATCATTTTATGTGTTATTTCTTTTTAAAGTAAGAAAAATGGAATTTTTTTTCTTTTTCGGTAATGTAAAATGTAAAATATAAATGTTGAAATTATGTAAATGCAAATTTGAGCGTTTTTTAGATACTTTCAAGTGTCGTAGCTGATTACTCACTCTCCTATGACATCGCATAACATTCTTATCACCATCTTCATCATCATCTTTTTCATTTTTATTGCTTGTGTTGGGAAATGAAAATTCTCTTTTATAAATTGGCATCTTTTCCTCCTTCCAATTTTAAGTCCTACGAGATAGATGAAGGAGACCTATTGCCATTTCGTGGATAGAACCTGTCGAGTTTTTTTTTTTTTATCAAAACGATACTACTTCCTCCCATGTATAATATGTATAATTGCGTAATTGAAATGGAAATTGCTAGACATTAATTTGTCGGAGTTGTGCCTTTTATGGGAGTTTTCTTGTTATTTTTTTATTGTTGTCATTTAATTTACCTCAATGAGATAAAAGGAATTTAAAACAAGGGAGAAAGTTTGGTTCTTTAAAAATTTGCAGGAAGAACAAATAAAGTGAAAACAGTTTTGGTCTTGAAGATATTTTAGAGACTCATCTTTAATTCGGGGCGTAGGAAGAGTTTTTTGAGGTCTCACCTCGTTGACTTAAATTGTATGGTCCATACTAATTTGAATAAGGAGGAAGGGCGGGTCCTGTAGGAACATAGCCAAGGGGGGGGGGGGATATTTGGATGACAAATCGCACTGTGTTCACAGATATTTCTTCATTTTGCTAGGGTTTTTATGAAAAAATCCTGGAAATATTTTCTCCCTTCCCAAATTTTTTCGTCCCCCCCTTTTCAAATTTTTGACACCCCTGGGGTCTTGCAATTTTGCTCGCCATGCCTCAACCTCCTAAAATATTGCCTCAATCAAAATCCTACCCAATAATCCGAAAAAATGTGAAATAAAAAAAAAGTAATTTAAATAATTCAATGCAAATGACAAATAAAACTAAATGCCAGAGGAATCATTCATAAATGACGTCTATTAAAAAGAAAGATTTATTTTTTTGTATTTTTTTATTGGGGGGCGAAGGGGGGGGGGTTGCTCTGTTACAGGATATTTACACAAATTTTATTGATTTTCTGCAAGTGTCACAAAGCCCCTCTCTCATTTTAAGTTTAACATCATTTATAAACAACCCCTACACTAAATTAGAGATCTCTGCATTTAATTGTATAGATAGATTAAAGTTTAATTACTAATTTATATCATCCTCATTGTATTTGATAGAAAATTAAATTACCCCCAATCGCTAAAAAATAATTTAAACAATAGAATTTTCGAGATGGAAAATTTTCCTATTTAGTTGTTCCAACAGACACAAAAAAATCAATGATAATCCTTAGCAAAAAATACATCCACATGCCCTTGAGCTTAAATTTTACTAAACAATAACGACAGATTTTTTTTTCTTTATAAATAAGAAAAGATAAAGGAAGAATAATGAGCACCATAGAAGTCAGAAAGGAAGGAAGTTAGGCAATAGACAATGAGAGATGAGGAAAAATGAAAATTAAAATTGTAGATGATAATTGTGACTGTGTAATTTACTTGACTTTTAATTATCATAAAGATTAGACGACGAACTAATGTTGCTGAGTATTTTCTTCCCTGTTATGTCTACATGTACATTGTAGGAGTCATTTGCATTATGAAAATTTTTATACTTCTATTCTTATCTAATAATAGAATTGTGAATAACAACGGTGTTTATTCAACCATAAAATTATGCCATAAACGTAAATTTTCATCGTTGTTTCGTGGTTGCTGTTTTCTGTGTTAACTTAGTTCCTGAATGAAAAGTTTTCATTCCATGTAAATTTTGGCATCTAAATACTAGGAAGTAAACTATTTCAAGCATGATGGGTTAATTCCAAGGTTTAATTTAAAAGCTAAAGACAGTTTTAGATGAAAATTGCAAGTTAAATTTTTCATCATTTTACTAAGGAGGGGGGGGGGGGGGTGATGGGGGGTCCTAATATTTTCATTTTTTGAAAATCATGTGCGACCGACTTCCTTATATAGACACAATATCAAAACAGACAGACGATGAAAAAGTTTTAATTGATTTTTTGTGCCAAATAGTTTAATGAAATTCAGCTTTCTAACAATAGATGTAATATCCTTACAGGTGCGTCTATGAAGTTGAACTAATGAAAAAGCCAAAAAAAAGATAGAAAGCTTAGAAGTTAATCCTTAAATTCCCCCTTTTACTTTTCATTGAAACGAAAAGTTTCTGCTCTAGCTTTTTGGATGGAAGTAAATGGGATAGAAGTTTTTTTTTTACATAAATGGAGATGCTAACCCAAATGACGTTATTTAAGTTTGATATTAGATTAAGCAGGAAGTTATTTTGTGACTGGAATAAAATTGATTAAGATTTTTGCGGAGAGGATGAGATTTTTTTTTAAAAAAATTTAATTTAGAAATGCTGCAAGCTGGATTTTATATCCTTACATTTAAAAAAAATTGTGTATTTTTAAACTTTTGATTTTTAGTCATCCCATCCGATGTGAGCATTTAACTTTGTATTTTCTTCCTTAAGCCATTCATACAGAGGTGCAAAATATTCCAACAATGCATTCGCGTCAAGTTGACGATCACCAGTAATCACTTCTAATGCATCATTCCATGGAACTGATGATCCCAATGAAAGCATTTTTCTAGAAAAATAATACAATTTTGTAAGCATTAGAAGTTGTTCATTAATGATGTCTATCATTTTTAAGTATGGGGAGTTGGTCTGATATTTTGTCACTGCTTCCTGCTAGAAAAAGTTTCTAGGTTTGATTTGTATTTTGAAAAAAGAGTGAATGAGTTTAAAAATGATGGACATCAAAAGAGAACAGCTCTTACTTTATTGCATCTCCAGCTTCTTTGCTTTGATAAATGTCGCAATCAGCAAGAGTTTTCTCGGGATTATTCATTTCATATTCTCCGGCTTTGATGCAGGAAGCTTTATGGAATTGAAATTGAAGTATGAATGCAACAAAGTATCTTAAATACTCAACATCCGCACTGAAATAAATACAAATGTTTATAGACATTAGGGGCGTAATCAGGGATTGATGAAATTACCTTGCATGATATTTAGCAGTGACATCAAAATCCTTATTAGTCCTCTCAATTGGTGGTGCAACACCACCATGCTTTTTGCGCATATCCCAGAACAGCGTATTAGCATTTTCTGAAGTCACAGTTCCACGAAAAACTTCATATCGATACTTATCAAAAACATATGAGAATGGCAAGAATGGTAATTTTTCAATTCCCATTTTCAGTAGCTGATTAATTTGACTCTTTCGATCTTTATTAACTTCATCTAGTAATCCAATACGATGCATGTGCTTTGGTGTAGCTACAGATAGGGCAATTGTATCGCCTACTGCTTCATGAAAACCTGGATTGGCACCAGCACGAAATACAGGTGGAAGATGATTATATTGGAGATAGTATTCGATGTGGCCCATCTAAAAAATTGAAATATAATTTAAAAATTTTTCAAAATTTAAAAAAGCTAACCTCATGATGGACAGTCTTGTAACTTTCAAATGTAATTCTTGTACATTGCTTAATACGAACATCATTATTTATAGAAAAGTCCCAAGCACTAGCATGACACACCATTTCACGGCCATCATTTGGTTTTTCTATTATACTTTTCTCCCAAAATGATGAAGGCATTGGCGATAAACCTATTGATGTGAAGAATTGCTCTGAATCCTGAAACATTTTTAAAGGAGTGTAATTTTTCTTAACCAATACTGAATCAATGTCTGGATCTTCAGTTTTATATGGAAGAACTAAATTGCCAATATTCCATTGTTGTGCCCAAACATTTCCTAACAGATGCATTGGAATGGCTTTTGTTTTATCGACTACATTAGGTCCATAGAATTCAGCAAGCTTATGACGGACATAGCTGTTAAATTTAGAGATGGTAGCCATAAACATGACAAGTAATAATATTAAATGCATTACCCATGAAGTTGCATGTAGAGTGGTTTTATTTGATCCATAATGTCATCAATTTGTTTCTCAAACGTTGGATCTTCATATTCATCCAGCCATGTATCAGCACCATTTTTGAACCCTTTTATCAATGTCAAGTTTATCAAATATATAAAAAATTTGAATGCATTATACTTACCATTCATGTTTGCTGCCTTGTTCCTCAATCCAACATACTTGAAGAAATCCTTCTTATTTGGAAGTCCAGCTCCATCATACCATTTAATCCAATAATATTTTAATTCCTCTGGATTGCGACTTTTTGCAAATGCTTCAGTAATTTCTGGCTCCAAGCTTACTAATTTGGAACGATCCTTAAATTCTGGAACTTTAACTTTTGCGAAGGTTGACTGCATGCGCGAGACAGCATCTTGAATGTCATTAAAATCAGTTTCACTAAGTTTTGCATCACCAATATTTGTTAAAAATTTGACTAATCTTTTTAAGGTTTTATTCTCGAAACTGTTGTAGTCAAAAACTGCTAAATCTTGTGCAACACCTTTCACATATGCTGCATATTCTGCCTGAACTTTTGCATTAATTCTTTCATTTTCATCTGTTAAATTAGATGCGTGATTCCAAGAAGCTGTATTTGTTTTAAACATTCTCAACTTCATTTCTTCAGAAACATCATTCACAATAAACTGTGCCTGCATCTCATCATCACTTGCTAATGATAAACTTTCTTGTATATAAAAAAATATAAATATTATTAAGAATTTCGAGTTCATTTTCTTTCTGTTCAGTTTAATAATTAAAACGCGACTAATCAGCAACAGAATTTCTTTGCGCTATTTATTGAAGTTTTTCAGCTTAAAATGCTGGATTTTTTGAACGATGGAACTTTTTAAAAGTTGTCATTTTGACTGTCATTTAAATTTTTTTTTATCATACAACTAAAGAATATTGGGAAATAAAATCTTTTTTTAGCAGGAATAGTAATTGATTTATTTTCTTTTGTTCTATTGGATGCGTTGTCGAACTGCTATAAAGTTGATAATTAAGAGTTTGGGAATTTTTGCTAAACAGGTTAAATAATTATTTGATTTTGTCTTCTTTTTCATCAAGAAACAAAAAAGTGTAAGATTGTAACAAACAAAACCACAGAGTTGGCATAAATCATGCTTACGTTTCTTATCATTTAGGTATGTAAAGCGGATATAAGATTTTTTTTGACAAAATGATGAAGAAGGAAGTTAAAAGGGCTAGAGGGGGGGGGGGGGGGGTAAAATTTGTATTTACGTCATAAGTGAACCAAACTTAAGAGTGTGGAACTGATAAATTATATTTTGATCATTTCATCAGTTCCGCACCAAACCTTATGAATACATTAAAAGCCTATGAGAACTCAACTCTGTTCTGAAATCATTTGAATAAATGAACATTATATGGGAATTTAAGAGAAAGGCTTATCTCATCTTCAGGTTAAAGAACTTTTGAGGAGCAGAGATTTTATTTACATTTAAATTTGTTTTGCAGAATATTTGAGAGGTGCTTATAAAAATAGATTTGGGATCGATTAATTATGACGTCTATCTTTGAAATATGGGATATACCCATTTGTTCACTGGACACTAGCAAACGGACATTTCCCAACTGCCACTTCCCCTCTCGGATATTTGCAAATGAGATATAAATGGCCAAACCCATGAAATATAAATTTCTAAGTGCTCGCAGTTTAGTCACAAATACTTTCGTTTAAAGTGCCCCCCCCCCCCCCTTCTCCAAGATTTAAGATTGTATTATGCATTAATATGACTCAATTCCTGAAATGCGCCTTTAAACTGTTCCCAATTTACTTACAATTACCATGCACAATTCGCATTTAAATGCTATAATTTTCTACGCTTACCGAATCACTAATGAACGAATTTCAACAACAAATTGTAACATATGTGTGAATTTTTGTTGATTATTAGACTTGCTTTAATTTTCATGATAAGGTGCACTAAAGTTTCATTCTGACAAATGTTACTTTTTTGTGCTTATGAATTTTAGTTTTAATTTTTTAAAAAATCTTATGGGTCGTTCATAAATGATGTCTATAGAAAATTATAATTTTCAGACCCCCAGCAAACCTATTTCTCGTTCTTTCTCAAAAATTTCTATTTTTTATACAGCCTCTTGGGTGGTCCCAATAGCATTACATCATTTCTGAATGACTTTTTCATATTTGTTCTTAAAGTATTGATTAAAATTGGAAAGGTTTCACTTCTTTTTGTTCACTTTTCTATTAGAAATTTATTTTAAATTTTTTAAAGTTTAAAAAGAGCTCCTCAAAAAAAGTAGAGCATCACAATATTTCCTTCTGCCTTACTTACTGTTATTTTCACTCGTTGTTTCGCTTAAACGTTCAATAAATAAATTTTCAACAATCATCTCATAACCACCTACACCCCATCCACATCGTTCATCTCTATCGCAATCTTTAACCTTTGAAAAATAATAATTTATATATAACACAATTTTTTGTAGCTGCCTTTTCTCTTGTTTGTTGTGCATGTAAAAAATGAAAGTTTTTTTTCTCTTCCTGTGTTTCTATAGCAAGAAAAACTTCAACAATAAATCTGTCAAAGGTACCATTATTTTTTTGATATATTACATACATCCATGAGTTTCCAATAAAATATATATGTGCACGGGCTTTTGCTTCTTCCTTTTCACTCACTCACTTTTCATATATTTATTTACGAGTTATTTTCTATATTTTTATATTTTACGTAATACAAAGTGATGATAGAAGATGAAATGAAATTTATAGAAAGGGAAACACTCATGGAGATGAAAGGATGAAAAGTAATTTTGGGTACCACACCTAATGTTACATTAACATGTTAAAAGGAATCAATTGATCAAAAAGATGATATTTATTGAGAATATTTTTCGATGACAAAAATTATTGAGTCAATAAAATCCTTTTATTGGAGTCTATAAATTATGATTGCAAGTTGAAAAGTTGAAGTCATCAAGAGAATCACTTGACGGAAAGCATAATGCGTTTTCATCATATTTTGTGAATATTCCTATAGTTCAATCTATAACCCGAATGTCACAAGTGCGTCGAGTAAGTCGAGAATGGAAGTGAGAGTCAGGATGTATGGAATTTTTTGACATATCCGATTCTGGTGAGAATCGAACCTACGATTGTTCGAAGAAAATTTGAAAAATTTGCGTTACGTTACATAAACTTTGCCATACACGCTTTCGTCTCAAATAGGCTGATTCGCTTACATCTGGTCAACTTTTTTTTCGAAGGGACAGCCGAAATCCATATTCTGTATATACGTCATATATCTGAATGGGTTCGTTCACTTATGAGGTCCAAAATTAACGGTCATTTTTCAAATCAGAACAAAGAATTTCCAGGAATTTCTATTTTTTTTTTCTTGCTGACCCCCTTCCCACCTGGACGTCATAAGTAAACGGCACCTAAAGTGGACATTCAAGAGCTATTAAACATTTTATATCAAAAATACAGCTTCAACACTATTGAAGTGAGTAGGAAGTAGGCAATAAATGACCATGCATGAAGAAAGGGGCGAAAAAAAAATTTTAGCAATATTTTTTGAACTACAATTTATTACCTCTATATATACAAAGGATATTCGTAAAAAATTATGAAAAATGAAAGAGGACGAAAATGTCGAAAGCGATAAAAAATAAAACAACCAACAAAAAAATTGTCGAATTAATGTGGATATACAAAAATAAATGAATAAATAAAAAAAAATTGGGGTTAAAAAAACTTAGCCACTTCCAGTTAAAATAAAAAAAAAAAAGCCATTCTAGATGCGATGTTGTGATAACTGATACCTTGTTTCGCAATTTTAATTCTGTAATTTTTATTCCATTTTTGATTGTTCCAATTTATGCTGTGTAAAAATAAATTGGGAACATCAGTCTGGTGAAAAGTCTGTAATGCAGTATTTCGACACTCAAAACTCATTTTTCATTAAAATATAAAAACAAATAAAAATTGTGGAACTGAATTTACACAAAAAAAATAATAAAATTAAAGGGTTATGGTGCCAAACATAGGAACCACAAGCGAAAATATGCTAAACTGAAAGTTTATTTTTATGTACCAAATTTCTTTATAAAATATTGAAATGGCATAAATTGTGGTTGATTCAGGATGAGATTAATTTTTATAATTGGTTGTCAAATTTATCCCTAGCGAGACTAACTAGCAAATTGCTAGTCTTTCTATTTTACTACTTGCAATTTACTAGTAATTATTAAAACAACTTACTGTTAGAAAATTACACTCGCTATTTACTAGCAAATTACTAGCATATTGCCATATAAAATGTTTGATCAAATCTTCTTAAGTTCGAATCCTAAGAAAAATCATCGAAAAAAGAATTTTTTGCGTCATAAAAAATTTTGTTCTAAATTTGGCATTGGCCATATACTTCACAAGAGCGCGCAGAAATCACCTTTATAAGGTCGATCCAAATTTGTATGTGACTTTCAATTAATTATTTATCTTCCTCAGGTTTGCGTGCGAGTCATGGGTGTTCATCAGTATTCGACTTAATTAAATTAAGTCTTTTATTTTTTTTCATAGTGTTAGTGTACTTTAATTAACTTTAAATAAGAACACACTAATACTTTTACAAAAATTTACACAAATAAAAAAAATCAAAAGAACACGTGGAAATCAACGGTTATATTCATTTAATTTTTTTAAAAATTTGCTAGTAAATTACTAGTTAAATTGTAAGCGAATTGACTAGTCAATTAGCAAGTGAAAATGCGGGTCTTTGGCGATGATTTGAACTTGGATTTTGACTAGTAAATAGCAAGTAGCAAATGGAAAGTTATCCAGTAAATTACTAGGAAATTACTAGTAAATTTCTGCTAGGGTATGAATCTGTAAAGCATGAATTTGTGGTAATAATAAGCTGGGAAGATAATTATTAAAACTTTATGGGTATTTTTGGTTAAAATTTCCATTTTTCATCAGCAAGACTGTATGACAGGCACAGTGCTAAAAAATTTGATGAAAAAAAGAATAACAATCAAGAAAGAATTTGAACATAGAAGAAATGGCATTGAATGATTTATTGTTAAACTTTTTTTTTCTCCTACGGAATGAGTTGATGGTTCTTCTGCTTGCTCTTTTTTTCAAATCGAATCTCTAAAAAGACGGGTTTATTGAAAAATAATGAAAAAAAAAAACCAAAATTTATTCATTTTCAAATCTACAAAAGAAGCGCCCTTTTGTATGAGACCCTATCATTTTCAATTTTTCATTTTTCATTCATCTTTTCGTCTACTGCCGCCATCCACCCATTCATCCATGCAAGAATGTAGGGTAAAAAAAATTATTTCATTCGAAAAATTCTCAACCACAATGGGAGCAGTACCAGTTAACAATAACTGAGAGAGAACGAGTTCCAATGAAGCATTTCTGCCGCCTCTACATTAGACAGCAATAAAATAGGAAATGTCGAAAAAGAAGATAAAAATTGTATATCAAAAGCGAAGAAATTCCATGGATCATTACTCATCATAATATTGCGATGTGATGAACAATGAAAAGTATGTTTAGGGCAGTGTAGGAGCTAGAACTTTGAGAGGGGGGTGTAGAAAAATCACAGCAATTTAAAATAATGTGTAATAAGATCAAGCTACTTTTCAACGACTGCTTTCTCCCTAATAATGTGTGAAGGCCCAGCCTTTCAGCTGAAGGGACTTCTATTTAAATTAGAACAAAATCTATTGTTCCACACCCTTTTGACCTTCAGTTTATTGTGGGATCCGAACCACTTGCAAAGACACGAGTACGTTTAAGAAAGTCATCCAGATGCTAGTACATATATCCTTGCGTACCTAGCAAAGGAGGCACGTTCTGTGCCAAAGACATCAATACTACACCCAAAACACGATTCGAACTTCGTAATTAGAATGGTGAAATGGAAAAAAGCATCGAAAATTTGACATAGCCTGGGATTGAACCCAGGACCTTTGGCACGGAAGGCCAACGCTATAACATTTAAAAATTCATTCCTAATTTGCAGCATTGCATAATGTCTCTATTCTAGCAATACGATAGTAACATAACAATTTCGTAACCGCTTCAATAACAATTCTTAGAAGTAAAAACTGGCAGTATTCATATTTTATAGGCCACGAAAAATCCATTTTTCACCATAAACATATAATTATATTGATGTATAGCATATTATTGACGTATTATATGTGCGTCTGTGCGTTTCTCTTGTTATTTTTCCATTATGAACACAAAGCAATATAAAAAGCCACGAGAAAACATAAGAAGCACAACGAAAGAAAATCTATTTTTAATGAGTTATTTGCGAGAATCAAAAAAATATATATAGCATGAGTGTATGTTTATGCTATTGTGGCATAGAAATATATATTTGATATATGATAATGTGATCGAGACATTAAAAGCAAATAACAGCGTGAATATTGTGAAAGAATATGGTTTGAAACTAAAATCTACGGAAGTAGAAAAATAAATAACAAGTCAGCAACGAAAATTAGACTCGTTAGCGTTAGACTCGTCGTTCATAAATGACATCTATGATAAAATATGTAAAATGTAAGTTCCAAACAGTAAAAGCCATCATTTATGAACGACCCTAATAGGGCGAAAATTAACAACGAGTTAAAGTTGAATTATGAAAATTTGTGTAGTAATTATTTGGTGCATATTTATGAGACTTATTGCCATTTATGTAGTTATTTGAGAATTGAATAAATTTGAAAATTGAATAAATGCTTGCATCATCACCTTAAAATAATGTCCCTCATGCATAAAATTCATAACATAAACAACAAATATCAACAATTTACTACCTCATATTATTTATTAACTATAAATAATTTGCTCCTCAAACTGGTTTCTGTGGCTTTCGTAATCAAATCATGGCACTACAAATATTTTACTGAGGGAAATTTGTTTAAAGGATTTCTTCTCAGCATTCTTAACTGAAATTGAGCAAAAATGGCAACATTAAAAAAATGTTGAACATAAATGGCTTACTTAAGCTCTTTTTTGCTTCTGATAAATTGCTTCTTTTCATCTTGAACACAAAAGCATGCAAAATACTTACAACAAACAATATTAAAAGAGAATATCATCCTATCTCAAATGTAATGATGCGTATATGCTTTTAATTTTGAGTACATGCGTATCTGTTTATATAAAGCTTGTTTGTAAAATGCTTATTGATAGCTTAATGTGAATTTAGCAGAACTGATTAGCAAAAAATGCCAGCATAAGCCATGATGGGGAAGGGGGGCTATCCACATTTTGTTCTGTCTAAAGCCAGTGATGGCCAACCCATGTGTTGTGATAAAATTTTGCATATCCGAGGGATCTTATTTTGTGTTCGATTTCATTCAGGGCTTACTCTCAAGTGTTAAGTAGCCCAAAAAACGTTGGACACCACTGATCCACACTACTAAATTATACAAACCAAAGAAAACTCCATCCCTCAAAGTACAACTTTAATATTATTCATCTATTCATGACTTTTACAAACATCAATAAATTTCCGCATAATCTCACATTCACACTTTTCTACTCCTTCTTATTTGAAAATCAAATCATGTCAAATCATTTTTGATTTCAATGCTTTTTGCTTTCTTTTCAATTCTCCTTTTGTTACTCGAATAATAAAAAAAAAAGGATTGAAATCAGAATATGAATGCTATTCCAATAATATTTACTCTTATTCCATGATCTGAAATGAATTTTTCTCGTTATATCCAGTGGTGCGGTATGTAATTACATTTAATAAAAATATTAGATCTGGCATGATGTTGAAGTAAGGCATAGAGAGAAGAAAAAAATAATAAAATAAAATTTATGAAGGTAAGCGAGATCAAAATAAATCATCTGTTCTGTTTTTTTGCCTCCTTACTGTCACATCTTCTTCTGCCTTCATTTCTATATCTTCATAAGCCCCATCTGAATCCTTTTACTGATATATATGCACACGTACAAGGCATGGCAACAACAACAACAATTTTTTTTTGTAGCCTTTAGAAGTTTCTTATCTTAATTCTCGAGTCTACCTTTCTCGATATTTCTCATCTTTCTCTCTCGTTCCATAATAAGTAAATGTAAATGTAGATAGATAGATAAGCATTTATTCATGTCTGGATGAATTTTCATTAGAAGCAAATCATTTCCATTTCGATGAATATATAATTTGAGAAAATGTGTATGTGATACGTAAAATTATATCAATACACATTTATCTACATTATGCTTATATAATTTTATTTTATTTCTTCTACCTTTAAATAAGATATAAGTGAATGATGTGAATGAGCAATGAATTGTGATTAGCTTGTAGGTAAAATTGAATGTGAGTGGTTTTAGTGGTTCCTGTAAGGAGTCGTTCAAAAATAACTTCCATAAAAAAATTGGACATCATTTATTAAAAAGCATGGGGAGGACCCAGGAACTGCTATTTTAATTAGAACAGAATCTATTGTTCCACATCCTTTAGACCTACAGTTTATAGTGGAATCCAAACCACTTGCAAGTTCTGCACATTACAAAAACACGAGTACGTTTGGGGCCGTTCACTTATTACGTTACGCAAAAACCTACCTCAATTTTTCAAAACCGCCCACTCCCCCTAAAATGCGAACGTAAACAGTTACCTTTTTTATGTAGTTTTTAAAAAAAATATTTGCAACCCCCCCCCCCCCCCTCTCCTAAGTCTCTTATCAAGAGATTCTAAATAATTCAACAAATTCAACAGATAATTATTTTTTTCACAATTTTTTTCTGGTATACTTATCAAGTGCTTCTTAATCTCTTTTAATCATTCGAGCAGGAAAAATCTCCAAGAAAACTGAAAAACTAGGCAACTCAAGAATAGCAAATTCTATTATTAAAACTTCGACAAATGATGAAATTTTCATGTTTATAATCTGATTATAAATTTTGTTATCCTTTAATTGCTCTTGGGAGTTTTTCATCTTTTTATTCTAATGAAAAAGTAATTAAGACTTTTTCCTAGAAACAATCATCAATGTCTTCTATTTATTTAAATTTTGATGAGCATTTTCTTCTTCTTTTTTCAGACGTTTGAGGCGAAATTAAAACTTTCAGTTTTTTTAAAATTAATCAAAATCGTAAAGAAGAAAACCCTTGACAACGAATAATGGCCGCGAAACTTCCATCATTTGATGAATTATTAAGTAAAGCCGTTGAAACCTTCGAAGAAGCATTCAACAAAAAACCAGAGCTCGCAGCATGTGCTCCAGGTATTTGGTTGAAACTTTCAATGATTTTGACGAAAACATTTTATTTCTTATGCAGGACGAGTTAACTTGATAGGGGAGCATATTGATTATTGCGATGGCTTTGTTCTACCAATGGTAATTGTGGCTTTGTTACTTAATTTTTAATTTATTTATGAATTTTAAAAAAACATCAAGATTTTAAATAAAATTTTTAAGCAGGCACCCACAAAATATTTTATTTCTAAACTTTCAACAAACTTTGATAATCTTTTAAGTCTTCAATAATTAAATTAATTGATTTTTTGCTCCTCATTTACAGGCACTTCCCATGTTGACATTGATTGTTGGACGAAGAAATGGAACACCCGACGAGGTTAACATTCATACATTATGTGATGGAGCTGATAAACCAGACAAAATTCAATTTAATACTGACTATCTCGTTTCTGGTATGCCAAAGTAAGTTAGAATAAGAATTAAAAGCTAGATTTTTTTTTTACAGATTGAAGAAAAAAAAAATTTCAATTTCAAAAACTTTAATTTTCTGCAAATTCTTTTATCTTTTAATGCATGAAAGCTCCTTAAAAGATTTCATCCTCTGCTCCTTCTTAGCTTCTCCGCTTCCTGCTGTGAAGATTCTTCTATAGTTTTTCTGAGTCCTTTTCATTTTTTTGTGTGTATACAGATTCGTACATATTGTAGAAAAAGAGAGATGGAAATACAACTGAGAAATCTTATTTTACTTTTAAGAATTCAGTTTGTTTTTCATACACTCAGAGAAAAATTTTAAGTTCATCCAGTGGTGTAGCTTCAAATAAGAAAAGTGATTTCTCACCCAATCATGCCAATCACGTCACTAAGCCCATTTAAAAATCAAATTATTTTCTTTCAGTGTTCTCAACATCTACACATGCACAGTTGTATTGTATTAAACCAAATTCAAACATTCTTGAGACAATTCCAATTCCAATTGTTATTTTTAAAACAAAAAAATAAAAATCTATCCTGAACTGAACTCAATTCAAATTTTTTCATGACCTTTCTTCTTTACTCGTCTTCTGTTATGCCCACAGCACTGCTAAATTCATAGCGTAACAGAATGTTTTGTGGATTTAAATGCAAGATTATTTAAAGAAACTTTAATAAGGGAATTGCGAGCTAATAAATTTGTTTTTATGTTTAAACAATAGTTTTTCAAAATGAAAATCTCTTAAAGTCATTGACAGGAGAAAATGAAGGAATAAGGACTTAAATTCGATGAATTTTCTTAAAGAAAGCAAATCGACCTTGGAGAGTTCTCGAGTTTTACTTTTTGGGAAAGTCAAAAGTCAGATTTTTCATTTTACTCTTGGAACTAATGAAGACACAGCAAAAGTTTAAATTCGTCATTTGGGAAAGAATAAAACCGAAAGGTTAAAGTCAAAGATTTAATCGAGAGTCTTTATTTTATCTCCATAGGTGGTTTACCTTTAGTTCTGTTCTATTCTCATTTCTAGAGAATAAAACAACGTTTTGCACCTTATTTAAAAAGTTTATAGAGAAAGATAATGAGGAACACACCCACACTCGATTGACTGTCTATTAAGATTCGAGAAATTGATTTGCTTATTAAAGCTTTATCGTTCATTGCCTTGAAGCTTTGTTACTCTGTTGTATAAAAATAATGGGTATGTGGGTAGATTAGGGTCGTTCAGAAAAAAATTCAAACTAATTTTATATCTTTCGAGACGAGAAAAATCTTTAAAGTTGGTTACTTGTCAAGCTCAAGGATGGAATGCTATAGAGCAGTGTTGTGCAACCTTTTTTGAGCCACGGCACACCCTAGGGAAAAATTAGCAATTACCAAAGTTGCACACAGCACGCGGCTCGCGTAATTTACAAAAAATTTCTATGGAACCCGAGTGTGCCACGGCACACAGTTTGGACAACACTGCTATAAAGGAACGTAGTCTAGGAAGGCATTATTGGTGGTCAAAAACTCTACCTTGATGAGACTTTTCTTCAATTTCATTACACTACACTCACCTCATCTAAGACCCTTCATATATATTCAAGCAAAGCTATACCTTTGATACTAGAGCCAAGCGAGATTTAAAGCGATTGGTATTTTTTTTTGTGTATAAAAAGGTGTGGAAGTGAATAACAAATTTTAATGAACTCATATGTAATAGGATTTAAAAAAGAATTTTCGTATGAACTCTCACGATAAAGTAATTTAACCTCATAGAGAGAAAAGCAATTGAAAAATCATTCTTCAGTAAAAGGGAAACTTCCAATGCTTGCAAAAAAAAATTGACTTAAATTATTCAGAATATTTAAATTTTTCATGGTTTATTGTCGCTTTAACCATTCATAATATTTGCTAAAGAAAAGTAAAAATTTATTCATTCAATATTTCTTTTATGATCGTGGTAAAGTGAGCGTGATGAAATTTTATTACTGAATAAAAAACATTGTTGGATTAATAATGGACCACTGAGCTATTGTGAATAATTTTTTTTGTTAAAATTTTTAACATTTCATATTTATACAAATTCGTACAATCATAAAAATTGAGTTCAATCACATGAGTGCATGTAAGCATATGTAAGGGGTTCATTCAATTATGACGTACACAAATATTTAATTTTCAGACATCCTTGGTCACAAAATTTTCATTAGAAATCTTTTTATATTCACAAAATCTCAGATCCTTATAAATGATAGACATCATATCTGAATGACCCTCCAAGCAACAACAACAAGAGAGTTAAAAATATTAAAATAACAAGCAGCACCTTTTCACAAAACAAAGTATTGCCTTACAGGATCAAAAAGAAAATCTACAAAAGCGTATCATGACGATGACGGTGAAAATAAAAAAAAAAAAATATTCCCAAGTGTCATGGAAATAATACACAGAGACTGTTGCTATTATTGTCTTTTATAAGATTACACGAGGAAATTACAAAAAATGCTTATTTTTGCCGTGGTAAATACATAACACTTTGAAACAATCAAAACATTTTTACCTTCGATATTGTCATGTGGATTTGTTTAGAGGAACTGAAGCAAATAATAAGAGAAAATGTCTTTTTATTCTGTTAATGTAAAGGGATCTTTTTTTGGTTACACACTTTTATTTGTTTCTCGTGTTAATGATTAGATACAAAATTTGCTTGGAGCTAAGAGTTTCTATGGAATACAGTTCTTACCTTAGTTCCATATAAAATTAGGTGTGTTGTTCAGATTATGCAAGATTGTGTAATAGGAGCATAGCCAGATTTTTGTAGGTGGGTCGATAAAAATATTTATTCTTTTCCTTGTTATTTATTCTCATGGTATGGATTGGGGGTGTTTTGATCCCCTTGGCCACATTGGCTACTTCTATGTTATCTATAGATTACTACTTAAACTTTTCGTATTCTTCGTTCTGTCTCATTATGCATTACAGATTTTTTTTACGTGGGGGAAAACATGATTCGGAATTTAATCATAAAGAATTATTTACGCGACATAAATTTCTCCTGAGGTCTTATCCTTAAGCCCAAAATTCGAACAAGTAATGGAAATAACAAACTCCAATCAAAATTAATCTCTAAATCTCTTTCCATCTTCTCATTCACACATCGTTGAAGTTTATCACTGAACTTCATTTACAGTAAATCTCATCAATTTCCTCTGCCATCATCATCAACTTCATCATGAATTCAATTTACTATATACGCCTCAAAGAGATAAAAATTATTCTTGAAACTGAACTCAATTTCTTATTCATAACAACGACAGTAAATCTTCCTTTTTGTACACGGTTCAGTGATTGGTAAAATCCCTGTGGAAGAACATAACGAAGTCGTTGTCGATCCAAGAAAAAAAAAACTGTTCAAGAAGGGAGTGAAGTCTACAAAAATTTTTTTAAGGGGGAAGTTTTTTGGAGTCTGAAATTTATTCAGAATAAAAAAGTTGATAAATTGACAACTGGAAAACAACAGAACCAAAATACAAATATATAAGCCTTCCCGCAAGATATGATTATGGTTCAATTGATATTCATAATGGTAGTTGATTGAGTCCCATGGAAATTTTTCTTCCATCAAAATATTTTATATATGAGCAATCAGTAGCCCCGAAGCTAAGGTGGTGAAAAAAAAAGTTGAAATCGATTTTTGTATTTTGAGAAATGCGAGAAGGAAAAAGGCGGATGAGATTAAATATTGACACGCATTTTACGCTTTGCTTCATGACTACTACTGAGGAAATTGAAAATGAGAGATGAATTTTTTTGTTTTAACTGCTTCACATCTCTCAATTGATATTGATTTGTGTGCTTGCATGAGATTTTGTTCTTTAAGGTCGTTCATAAGTGATGTCTTTCCAGACATCAAAGTCTGACGTTGTGTAAAATAGAAAATTGTGTTCCAGAGGTGGAGGGTGCCTCAAAATCTAGTTTTGTGATGAACAGAATTTATGAAAGACCCCCTTGCTCTATAGATATTTTTTTATAATTCCATAATAGCTTGCAACTGCACATTGAACTACTTGATTTTAATTAATGAAAGGTTTTCATTGAAAACAAATAACAACTTGACTACTGGCTGTTCATGAATAGTAGATAGGCAACATAGAAGTAACAACAGTACCCAGCTGAAGAGTTCAATTGAAAAATTAAATCCACTCTCATAGAGCATACACGTCTGAATTGATACGTAGATAGTTAGATAAAGTTCATTATAATTTATTTTCATTTTTGCTTCATTACTTCAAAATAATTAATCACAATATGTGAGCTCTTGTGAACGCCATGTGTATAAACAATTAAGTACATTGGTTGATAGGATATTGAAACTATTGAAGAATCATTCATGTGCATGAAGAGCTTAAGCTTCATCATCAATTTTCAAATAGGAGAACATTTTAATCCTGTAAAAAAAAATTTGAATGAACCTTTTCAAGTGTGGATGGTTGCATATGCTTCTTTCAATTAAGGCTTATTCATTTGTTCAGGGATTATTTTATTTTTTTGAAAGAACTCGTTTGAATTTTAATCTTCATGATTTTATAGGTTTCTTCAGCAAATTACATCCAGTTCTGAGCATTATCAATTTCACTTTTAATATTCAATTTAATTAAAACACATCATGAAGTGGATGAATAGCCAAGCAAATTCTAAATAACAAACCGATGTATTTTTTATTTAAAGTAGATTGAAATTTAAGCCTTCGTAGAATGTTCAACTCTCAGGTAGCAACTAACCATAAATAAATTGCTTGCAGTGATTCATCAATATACGAGCCTACGCTTTTATCAGAATAAAAATAGAATAGATAGAGTATGGATTGATGGAAGCAAAAGGCTTCAATGACTCGCACGAATAAACGCACTTATAAAATCCATGAACATAATCTCATTCAATTCCTAGAATATTTTTGTTTTCATGTAAATAACGTGCGCATGGTCGGAACTATTGTTTTAAGTTGGAATAAATAATCACACTTAAAAACCTCGATTAAGCTTGAATGAAAAATTTCAAGGAAATATCAATAAATTATGCTAGAAAAATCTACTCCAAAAAAAGCAAAGTCCATCATAATTAATAATCCATTCCGTTACAGATGGGCGAACTATGTTAAAGGTGTATTATCCCATTATGGTTTTCCCATACCTGGATTCGATGCAATTATTGTAACAAATGTTCCCCTTGGCGGTGGGCTTTCATCGTCAGCTGCTTTAGAAGTTGCTACATTGAAATTTCTAGAGCTCGTAACAACAAAGAAGCATGAAAAGTGAGTTGGATCCTCAAAAGAAAGTTTCGGTCTCACAAAAATTCAACCTAATTTTGGTTTAAATTTCAATTTAAATTTTCAGAGACAGCGATAAAGCTTTGATCTGCCAGAAAGCAGAGCAGTAAGTATAAAATACTAAAAAAGATCAAAATTCTTCTCAGACACAATATAAATATTGATTTTTTCCATGACAGCACCTTCGCAGAATGCCCATGCGGTATTATGGATCAATTCATCTCAGTAATGGGGAAGGAAAATCATGCTCTCTTAATTGATTGTCAGTAAGTTTATTAAAAAGCAATCAATAGACTGTTATTGCTGACTAAAGAAAATTCTTTCATCATTTAATTTTCTTGGATAGAAGGATTATGAGCATGTATGTGGATTTTGACGAAGTTATTTGGAAATATTATATATCTAGCAGTTTAGGTAGTAGATTGTTGTGCATCCTTTAATCATTCCTAGCTTGAAAATTAACTTGGAGCTAGTTAAAGCCAACCTAGTCAGTTTCTAGTGTCTATCTTTGTACACTAGAATTGAAAATCAATATAAATTTGATTGAGACTAAGGTCAAGTACCAGCCAGTCTTTGAAATTTAAAAAAAAATCCTTCAATCCTCAACCCTAAATAACATCAGTTTGTTACTGACTTCATCCAAATAAACTTGAACTATCTGTTTATTTATGTATTAGAGCTAGGAAATGACTTGATGATTTTGCAAAGTTGACATAAAAATCCTTAGTCATGCGAAAAACTGAAGGTAGACAAGATACGCATACATGAGATACTCAATCAATCAAAAAGATTAAATTAATTGATTTCTAATTTACTGTCTCTATAACTTTATTTCATTTTATATTCCTGTATATATATATAGATCATTAATAGCTGAACATATTCCGTTTAATGCAAGCGATTTGGTTGTGCTGATATGTAATTCAAATGTTAAACATAACTTATCCGCAAGCGAATATCCAACAAGGCGTAAGCAATGTAGTGATGCGTTAAAATTGATGGGATTGAGCAGTTATCGTGAGGCTAATTCGTCGCACTTGAAAGGTGAGTATGTGACATATGCGAGATACATATCGAGTTGAAGGAGGTGGAAAAAAAATAAATTGATTTGCAAATTTGATTTGACATGAAAGAGTGAATATTTGTTATATAGTACATCATATGATGATGACGATGGATGACTGATATTGATGATGGTGTTATGTTAAAGGCAAAAATTTGACATGAAATTATTTGATAGAGTGCATAATCTATTTGTGGAAATTCAACCACATCCTGTAATCAATTCACATCCAATTCAACATATGGCATGGTGTTATGTCAAATGGAAATATTGTAGTTGTTGATTAACGTAGTAAATTTCTAGGATATTTCATTTTCAACATAATCCATGCTATACTAATAACGTGGATTGAGATATTGACATACTTTAGAATCAGAGTTGAAGTCAGGTGAAGGCTTAATATTGGAACTAAAGGATATTTGGTGTTTCGTCAAAATTGTTTCAATTCAAATCCAATTAACTCCTCTTTAGCAATTAAAATAAATAATTCCAACCTCCGTTAACCTCAACTTCCTAGCTATACCCCTGATCCGAATCATACTGTTTGTCACATTTTCTTCCGATCAAAGAAGACAAAAATATAATTGAATTTCCACATGTGATTTTTTGCCTTTAATCTTCTTACCGTCATCATCATCATCACGATTGTTATTGTCACATTTACAGTCTTCTTATGTTCTGAAAAAGCTTTTTACTCGTGCCATAATGAAGCGAAGTAGGATTTATGAAAAATGTATTCATTAATTCAGATTTTTTTAAAAAAAAACTTTTTTACTGCTTTTATGACATAAAAAGAGACAAATTTGATGAATGTAAGATCCAATTACAAGACAGCATATTTTATTATTTAATTATGTAACATGAGTATGAGTCAAAAAGATGTAAGTCGTATGAAATTTCATAAACAAGCATTAAGCTTCAAAGAAAGAAAAATAAATAATTTTTTTAATGAGCAAAACAAAGTTATTATTCTGCCTGTTTTTACTCTAATGCTCTAAATTATCAGAAGCAGCAGATTTTTTTTGCACTCAATTCTATTTTATTTGTGTCAAATGCACAATTTTTTGCTTTTCTTTGGATGTGCCATAGTCTTAATCTTCTTTTATTTTTCTATCCTTTTCCGATTTTTCTATAAGATGTCAAAGCTTCATTTTTCCTTTAGATGATTTTCATCAGATTCTTTCATATAAATTTTTTAAAATATTTATTTTTTAAAATTTAAGTTTTCAATTTTTTTGGTTTTTAATTTTTTGATTTCTTTTAATTTTATTGAATCTTTTGGATTTTTTTTGATTTTTATGATTTTTTTAAATTTTTTTATTTTTTTAAATTTTTTGAATTCGTTAAAATTCTTAAAAAAGTACAAAATGTAAAAAAAATAATTATGAAAAAATATCCACAAAGAAGATTTTCAACCCGTCTCCATTTTTTACTCCAAACCATTTTCACATTTGCGAAAGCAATTTTTGTCCATTTAACAGATGACAGAAAAAGGAAAAAGAAAGTATAAAGGAAAAGAGATTTAACTCATGTGGGAACAGATAGAAGAAAATCTCATTTAATTTCAAATAAAATTGCTGCTGTATGTTGGATGTGCTACATTTCATCTTATCATATTAAATTTAAGTAAGAATAAAAAAGAGAAGCGACAACATGTCGATATCTTTTCTAGATCTGTGAGAACTTTGTGCGATGATGGATTTTAATTTTGTTGCATCAGCAGGAAATAAACTTTTTTTTGTATTTCCTTGTTTGAGGAATTCTTGATAGATATTTTTTGTAGTTCGAGCTAGTTCTTTGAGAAAGATATCCTTTGAGTCATTTATGGAAGTTGAATAAAATTACAAATTCTGTTAAAGATTGATATTTTATAAGTTTTAAATATGGGCAGTCTTTGGACATAGTCTTAAAAATATCAATTTCACATTCAAGTCAATTGAGTGATGAAAAAAACCATTCTTCCTTCACATAAAAGTTTCCATAATCTGTGCCGCAATTTTATTTGTTTTATCGAGATTTACTTCCTCTCATTTTACTCCTCCTCATTCCATACAAAAAATAAAGAAAAAGTTTGCCTCGCTTTTCTGCAGCTTTTAATAGAATTGGGAAGATAAAAATTCCGTATTGGAGTTGGAAAATGATGAATAAAAAATGAGATTTAGAAAACAAACAGAAAAAAAAGATCTACAAAATTATCTCATTTGATATGTATGATATGAAAGCATATGCGTGGTGTAAGATTTTATCTTTGATTACGGGAAGAAAATCATTAAATATTAAAAATGCAAACAAATGAAGGCGGAGTTGTAATGTAGAATTTTAATTGCTTACTAAGAATGCGATGTTGTGGGTTGGAATTAAGAGATTAGAGCTGAATTCATTGCTTAAAATGAAAATCAATGTACTTCATTCTGAGGTATAAATAAAGTTTGACAATAAATTAAGCAGGTGTCTTTAGTAGCCCTAGAAACCAGCCACAGAAAGTAAACTAGACTCATCAATTTTCGATCTTTGAGAATGGTACCCAACAAACCCCTAAAAATGTATCCATGGAAAGAAAATGATTTTCTGCTTAAATATGCTTAATTTTTGCAATATTATCATATTAAAATGCATAAAATAGTTGATGATAATCAATTTATAATCATGCAAATTATGAAAATTAAGAAACTTTCTCTCACAATTATTCTAATCAAATATTTACATTCCATAGATTTAGAAAAGGCATCCGCAGATGCCATTTTAATAAAACGAGCAAGGCACGTAATCAGCGAAATTGAGAGAACTCAAAAAGCTGCTGATGCATTGCGAAATTGCGATTTTGAAAGAGTAAGTTTTGAAATCATTAAACTAATTTATAGAATATATTGATTCAATTGCCAATTAAGCTCATGCCAATAAAATTTATTCATCAAAAATTCACATCAATAAATTTTTCATCTCCAATATTTTATTATTTTTTTTAGGTCGGAAAGCTCATGGTTGAATCGCATAAATCATTATCAAGCGATTTTGAAGTGTCATGCGATGAATTGGATAAATTGGTGGATTTGGCAATGAAGTGTAAGGGTGTATTGGGTGAGTGGAAGCAAATTTTCATATTTTTTTTATTATTTCAACTTCTAATAACGATTTATGACTTTTTCTCGTTTCTTTTTTGTGTTTCAATTATTTAAACAAAAAAATGTATGATACTGCGCATATACACACATTATATTATGGATGAATTGTGCGAAAACATATATAGGATCGCGAATGACAGGCGGTGGATTTGGTAAGTCGAATTTCATCGAGTGACATTTAATGTATTTAAGCTTTTAATAGCATCAAGAAGTTTTAGTATAGCATTCGATTTTATCTTGGTTTTATTAGTAACTCGAATGGTCGTGATTTTGGATTGTGTTAAAGCTTAGTCAAGGGAGGGGAGGATCAACACTAGCCTTAACATCTTTAATTAAAATGCAATTTTTATCGAAAAAAAAACCAAAAAGTTCAACATGACCCCACCCCCTCCCTCCTCAAAAAACGTCCAGATACTCTTTGATGCCGCGTATAAAATATTTACTTATGCTTAATTTCTATTATTTTTTTCTACATTCCATAACAATACAGGTGGCTGCACAGTAAGCTTAGTAAAATCCAATGAAATTGATAACGTAATTAAACAGATTGATGCTGGCTATCATGGAGCAACATTTTATGTGTGCAAAGCGTCCGACGGAGCACGTGATATTGATTTAGGTGAAAATTAAAATTGATGGTCAGTTGATTAAAAGGGACAAACACGCAAAATAACCAACCAAAGCCCGTAATGAGTTACAATTTATCTCTGTGTTGGGAACTACTTTATATGGAAATTGAATTTTTTTGCGTTGCTTTAATATTTAAATAAACGTAATACATTCCATTTGTTTAGGCATTCATTTGAATATTTCATGTTTCTAGGTCATTTAAAATAAAATGATTTATTAGGGAAATTTTATATTTTATTTTTTGTAAATTTATCAAAAATCAAGAGAACTTTTAATAAAAAATTTAAATAATTTTATTTAATATATTTTGAAGGAATTTAAGCACTTAATCATCTTCAGTTCTTGTCCTAGTGAAAAACAACGACCACAGCAATTAATAACATTTCTTCTTATTCACACATCAAGGCGTTCATTCAAAATCAATTTATTTTCGTTCTCCAACCATTAGCCGTTAACCCAAACATAGACACCAACAGCTTCATAAACGCACATGAAATGAAAACAATGAAAAGTTGCAAAAACAGAAAAGAATAATTATTTAAGTTCATGATGAACTTGATTGATGATTTATGGTCCTTGCTGACACTTCTTTTGGTATTCAATGGTTTATTTATTTTTTCTTTGCATACATCCGTTGGCGTTGCTCATTGCGTTATATGATTATAACATTCGTATGGTATTGGCATTGATGAGTTTAATGTTTATTGATGTGGAACAATAATCTCCATTTTATGCTGTTTTTGATGTGTTTTTAAATATTGAAGGCTGTTTAAAAATGTGAAGGAGGAGATTAATATGAATTACCACTTAGTGACGGTTGATGCCAATTTTCGATTGATCATTTGTCATCATCCTTCTTGATTTTAATAATGGGGTGAATGTTTTTTGATGTCAATCATTTAAGAGGGTCTCTGACAAGGGAAGATGCGTAAGGGGGGGGGGGGGGGTATGCTTAGAATTATAAAAATGTTTCTAAACTTTGATTATATGGTAATGAACAAGCATAAACCCTTTTGATACCTAACAAAATATATTTTACACAAAGTTTACAATTAGCTGACTTTACTCATTTGAAGTAACAGAATCCTTCATTATTTATTTATTTTTCCTCCTCATTTAGCAAATTTGAAATATTTTCATCGAGCATATGAAAGGTAGCAGAGAGAACAAACATGGAATAAAAGCAAAAATAAATCTCTTAATGAGCTTATGGAATTAATTTGGCATATTTTATTCTTGTAATTTTGTGAAATGAGTATGAAAATTTTTGGTGGTTTTGAGAATGGAGCACGTTGCATTATTACTTTGCTACAAATTGCTTTGCAAATGACTTTATATTGTTTTCCAATTTTTGTTATTCAAACCCTAAGTTTTATTAAAAATGCGTATAAAAATGTTTTAGGTCAGCACAAAACTGACCACAATCATCATTTCAACATTTCGATTCAAACAACATCAAAAGACTGCAAAATTACGCATTGAGAATGAAAAGGAAATGAGGAACAAATTCAGCATTTTGTTTAAAAATAAAAAAGTAAATTGGATTTTTTTTCTGCTTATTCTAAGTCTTCCTTTCATTCAGTGTTGAAATCTGCCTATACTTCTTCAAAAAGACACTTTCTATATGAAGAATTTATCTTCTGCAGATTTCTGTCTGCATGTAGATTAAAAAAAGTGTCTACATGCAGAATCTGTCTTCCAAAGAATTCTGTCTTCCACAGATTTCTGTCTGCATGTAGATCAAAAAAAGTGTCTACATGCAAATTCTGTCTTCCGAAGAATTCTATCTTCCACAGATTTCTGTCTACATGTAGAATAAAAAAAGTGTCTACATGCAGATTCTGTCTTCCAAAGATTTCTGTCTTCCACAGGGTTTGTCTGCATGCAGATTATTATATTTTGATATTTAATAAATATTTTTAAATGAAAAACACATAGAAAGATTTAGGATACAAAATAAAACAACGAAATTATTTTTACAAATTAATGTGGATTCTTCTTCACTTCCTCTGACAAGTCTCTTTTATAAAAAAATTATCAAACAATCGGGAAAATTTGAAAATGATTTGACCGTTAAAAGTACTTATTATTGTTAATTTATTGTAAAACCACACTTTTTCATTAAAATATAATAATCTGCATGCAGACAAATCCTGTGGAAGATAGAATTCTTCGGAAGACAGAATCTGCATGTAGACACTTTTTTTATTCTACATGTAGACAGAAATCTGTGGAAGACAGAATTCTTTGGAAGACAGAATCTGCATGTAGACACTTTTTTTAATCTACATGCAGACAGAAATCTGTGGAAGACAGAATTCTTTGGAAGACAGATTCTGCATGTAGACACTTTTTTTAATCTACATGCAGACAAAAATCTGTGGAAGATAAATTCTTCATAAAGATAAAATCTTTTAAAGATTCTGTAGTCTTTGTCTATGGAAGACGTCTGTCATTTCAACACTGCTTTCATTTATACGATGAAAATAATTTTGTTTCGTATTTTTTGAACTGGAAAAAGTGTCCTTATAAAAAAACTAGGCATCCGATCAGGGGTATCTAGTTTATTTTGTTAGGAGATTTGTTATAGCTCCGATTAATAAAGTTTTAAGTCTGATTTTGGAGAGTGCAGAAGAGCACGGGGACGTTCCAAGAACTCTTGCAGAGAAACTGTTGACAGAGACAATATTAAACTTGGTATTGGTAATTGGCAAGCGGTAGCTAGCGATAGAGCAAGTTTCAGGTGCCATCTATTTGAAGTCATGGATAAGCAAGCAATTCCAACTAAATCATTATTAATATTTTTTTTATTATATTTTTAAAACATGTTAAAGACATTGAAATTACAGCTTAAACAATTTTCAAAAATGTTCATTGCGTTCTGCGAAATTTCCATTCTATTCATGAATTTTTTTATATACATTTTTCCATAGGCTATTAATTTGAGTTTTCGCATTATTAATGACATGTATTGAGTTTGAGAGAAAATTTATTTTCACATCAATGAGAAAAACAGAAGCAAAGAAATTTTTCATTTTAACATTTACAGCAACAAATTCCTTTCATCATGAAATTTTAATAAAGCAAATTTATAATGCCAATGACTTTTTATTCGTTTTATTGCTTATCAAAAATTATGACTTACATTATGTTATATTTACAAACTCTCATAATGTTTCATATATGCATGTACTTTGTTTTATGATTTTTATTTCATACCTTTACCTCACATTCCTCCCTCTCAACATGCTTCTTTTTTAAAATTCAATCTTTTATATGGCATTTCTTGTATTAAAAGAACGACGGTAGCAGAAAAAAAACTTGTAAGCAGCAGATTTCTTTATAAATGTATGTATATTATTTGACAACAAAATATAACTAGATGACAGTATGCTTCTGCATGAAAGATAGAGTGTGCACATAATAATATTACGGTATAATGTAGAAAATAAATTTTAAAGTAAATAAAATGAGCAAAAAAGGTGCTAAAGAGTAAATTTAACAATATGTGTGAGAAAAAGGAACAAAGTAAGAATTTTGAGGCAGACATAGACGCATTAGCTGATTTATGCTTCATAATCAAAAATCAGCTACTTATCAATGTCTTCATTTTTTTCAAAAAATTGCCTTAAATGACAATCTGACGAACTAAAACTCACCATAAAAAAGAAACTAAAAACTTAGTTTAAATTATTATTTAAAAAGCTACGCTAAAATGAGAATAAAGTTTCATGAGCTGCTTATAATGATAACAATATGTTGTTACAATGTGAATAAATGATATTAACTTTTTAAAAAATATGAGAACGTGCTGAAAATGACAGTGAACATAAAAAGAAGCGACAATCTAAAATTTTTTTGCATACTGAGTCAAAATCAGATTTTGTATTTTCCAAAAAGAAATGGTTGAAACAGCACACAGTTGAAAGGATTTTGAATTAGATCGCTTGCTTTATGTGAATTCTCTAATGATGTTAAATTGCATGGGAGCTAGTTCTACCTCCCCCCCCCTCCTATTCCCTCAAAACGTTTCTGACTATTCTAGTATAATTAGAACTAAGCAACAGCCGCTTAGAAGCAACTTCCAACTGGATGCCAATGTGTGCCGATTGGGACTAGCCTTATTTGACGTAATCATATAATTGAATATTTAAGCAGTCACGAATTTACTTGTCAAATATTGAACTTGAATTTTTTTTTGAAAAAAAAAACCTTGAAACTTTAATTCAAGATCAAATTTAATTTTCTAAGTTGTTCAATTGTCCATACTTTAGTATCGCTCTTTATTCTGTACTAAATGGATGAATTCAACCTCCAATTAAAATTGCTGAAATTCTCTGGATTTATTCATAATGGTTCAAAAAGAACCAAGATGTTTTTGGATACTTTGCTGTATTGTACTTATTTAACTACCTTTTATTTTTGGTTTTCTGCTTCTGTCTTTGCATACAAATCCGATGATGTTCTTAACATCTCAGAAGCCTTGGCGCCACTATTCACTGGAACTTTTACAATTGTTAAGTATGTAATTTTTCAGCATAAATATAAAGAATTTTATGATGCTATGGATGCAATTGGAAATTTGAATAAAAAATGTAAGCTGACAAAGAATTCTTTTGTGGACCAAAATTAAAAAAATATTTTAAAATTCAAGGGATTAACCACATCAAATTCAACAAAATATTACACAAAGCTAATACAGACTGCAAAAAATTCACATATTTCATGGGTTATGGATGCTTAGTGGCAGGAGCTGTTATCACAGCTAAGCCTTTTTTGATGTATCAAATATATTTATTAATAGATGATGCACCTCATTTTCGTGAACTTCCGTACAAAGGTGAATTCTTTTTTGATGTACAAAATTCACCAGGATATCAAATGATTTACTTGATGCAGACTTATATCACTTATATCATAATTATATTTTCAGTAAGTAAATGTTTAATGGTTTAGGGGATGGGGAGGACCCTAATTCAAATTTTAACTTTCCTATAGGTTACCATGGCTTCCATTTTCAGCTCGTTTTGCCTCAACATATCCGCACATTTTAATATCATGCAAAAAATCATTAATAATGCTCAAACTAAAGATTTCTTGGTTTATCACCAAACAGTCCTTGGCTTATCCAAGAAATTGATTAAGTTATACAGACCTATAATATTTACTGAATTTGTTATCATGGCGATTGTTTTATGCTTTACTGGTCTCCAAATTCTAATGATGGATGATTCAGTTAAAATCTTAGGTGCTTTACTACATGCAGGAGCTGCGTTTGCTGATGTTGCAGTTTATTCATATGGAGCACAAAAAGTTTTAGACTCAGCTTTAGTCGTTTGTGATGAGTTTTATAAAACTGACAAGAATTACATTTTAATCATGATGATTACACAAAAGGAACTGAAATTCGATGCTGGATTATTTCATGCGTCTTTGCATACATTGACTGTTATATTGAGCAGAACAATGTCATTTATTACGCTATTAAAATCATTTATTGAAAATTAAATTCTACGTTTTTTTTTGTCCAGAATATTTTAAATCTAACTTAACTTAACTTTTAATATTTAAAACATCTAATTTTTTTTCAACTTCGAGTTTCAGTTTTAACTCTAGCTTAACCACTAAAATATTTAAAAACGAACCTATAATATATAAACAAATATTGAACTTTACTTGAAAAACGTTTTTACTTATTGATTGATTAGCTTTGTAAAATTTCACTTGCTTTTCATTTTTGTTTTAGTATTTCATTAACCTTTTAAAATTATAAATGGAAGAATTCCATCTTCAGTATAAATTCCTCAAATATTCAGGATTTGATCGTTATAGTTCAGATCAAATGAAAATTATTTATAAAATTGTAGTTTTATTCCAATATTTTTTGACCTTTTACTTTTTTGTGTCTTCTACTGCTTTCGTTTTAAAGTCAAATGATATTTTGAGTATATCTGAAAGTTTAGCACCAACATTTACTGCCATATTTACTATGGTGAAATATATAGTATTTCATCGATACTCTAACGAATTTTATGGTATAATGGACAAAATCGGATATCTAAATAAGAAATGTAGGCATATTGATAGGCTACTTACTATAATCGACAATACTATTTTTTTAATTTTAGGGAACAAAAACAGCAATTATAGCTTTATTCTGACTACTGCGAATAAATCTTCTAAGATGTTTACACTTTTCATGGGCTTTGGATGCTTAATAGCAGCAATAGTTTATACTTCAAAGCCATTTTTAAATGATTTAATCATTTCTTCAATAGATGATGAAGCCATTCCTATTCGTGAACTTCCATTTAGAGCTGAATATTTCTTTGATGTCCAAAACTCTCCTGGATATCAAATTGTTTATTTTACACAACTATGGTTAACTTATTTCATAATAACATTAACAGTAAGTAAATTCACTGATGACGTCTAATTTGAATCTAAAAGCTTCATTGATGAACGTCATATGTGAATAAGCCTAAATGTGACGTAAAAATCTAAATTTTATGAATTTTTCAATTCAAAAAGGTTACAATGGCTTCTTTATACAGCTGTTTTTGTCTCAACATTTCGGCACATTTTGATGTTCTCCGAAAAATTGTTAATGATGCTAAAACTAAGGATTTCATAATTTATCACCAAAAAGTTTTAAAAATTGCTAAGAAATTAGTTAAATTATTTAAACCTATAATATTTACTGAATTCACGATTATGACAGTTGTGCTGTGCTTTACTGGATTACAAATAATAATGGTTGATGACTTTGGAAAGATTATAGCAGCAATACTTCATGCCGTGGTTGCATTTGCTGATGTAGCAATTTATGCTTATGGCGCTCAGAAAGTATTAGATTCATCTTTAGCTGTTTGTGATGAAGTTTATAAAACTGATAAAAATTACATTTTAATCATGATGATTACACAAAAAGAATTGAAATTCGATGCTGGATTGTTTCATGCGAGTTTGCGATACCCAGTAATAACGCCGACACGGAATAACTCCACAACATCAAACCGGAATAATATCGAAAATATTTTTTGCTCAGGTCGGTAATAACTTCACCTGTATAATGTAGGTGAAGTTATTCCGGCGTCGCGACGGAATAATTTCACCTACTTAATATAAGTGAAGTTATTACCGCTTCATACCGGAATAACTTCACCTACATAATATAGGTGAAGTTATTCCGTCGCGGCGGCGGAATGATGCCGAAAAATATTGTATGTCGACTTTATTCCGTCACTGTGCAGGAATAACTTCACCTATATTTATATAGATGTGGCAGTGAATTCGTAATACAATTTGAAATTTACAAATGGGCAATCTCGTTTTTGAAATAATTTTTCTCAATTTTCAGCAATTTAAACGTTCCAGAGACTTAATATACTTATGTAAAACGATAAAATTTGGATGCTATTGCTTGCTTTCTGAACAAAAGCAAAGCAAAAGGGCAATGGGCAATTCTTTGGATGACTTTTTAAAAAATTTCAGCAAAAAATCGAAATTTCATTCAACAAACTTTTTGTTTCATCACATGCATATCAAATGATAGATAAGGGTGTGTTGCATAGGATAGACAGAATAATTCTGCAGAATTCTGCTCAACAGTTTCGCAACAATTCTGCAGAATTATTCTGATAAATTCTGCAGAATAATTCTGAGAACAACATAATAATTCTGAAGATTAATTCTGAAGAACTTATTTTTATTTTGCAGAATTATTCTGTTGAATTTTTTTTTTCAGAATTTCACAAAACAAATCAGAAGCATTTTTTCCAAATTCTGCATAATTAAAAGTTCTGATGAATAACTTTATGAGAATGTGATTAAAGACTTTGTTTTTCCACAATTACAAATTAATATGGAAATTAAAATAGGAGTACAACATTTTTCAGTGTTTCACTAAGTTTGAAACAGAATTGATAAGGAATTGTTTTTGACTTTGCCAATATTTTCCTTTCGCTCCTCTGGTTTAAAGCCTTGAATAGTTCCAAAAAATTATTCATTATTAAAACTTCAATTGAAGATTATATACAAAAGCGTATAAAATTTGATGAAATTTTTGAATATTCAATTTTCGAGATCGAATTCGACACGATTATTTTTAAAAGTAAAGTTACTAGATTTTTATTGCTCAATTGGCAAGGTACAGGTCACAAAATTTCGAGTCGAATTTGCACTCTCGGATTCAAATCCCATCACCAGCCTAGTGATTTTCAGAAGTTTAGATACTTCGGCTTCTTAGGTGCAGCAGTTTAAGACGTAAAACTAAGAATTAGGCAATGTGAGATGTGGAAATGAGTCAAGAATTATGTAGACAGAATGAGGAAGATACGAGAGCTGTAAAGATCTATAACAGTTTTTAATTGGGTACTAGACACACAACTGCTTAGTGAAGATTATGCGCTAAACACTGAGCTAGCGTACATAATAAAGATTTAAGAATTATTAATGTTATATCTTTGAGATATGTTTATTAACTGGATTTCATATCATGTTTACTATGATTTTCTTATTATACAACAATTAATGTTAAAAATAAAAGTGTAGCGCTTAAAGGTTGCACACTGTTGCACAATTTAACATGAATAAATTGAAATTGAATTGAATTGTGTTCAGAACTCTGAAAAATGTTGTACTCCTATTTTAATTTCCATATTAATTTGTAATTGTGTTTTTAATCACATTCTCATAAAGTTGTTTATCAGAAATTTTATTTATGGAGAATTTGGAAAAAAATGTTTCTGATTTGTTTTGTGAAATTCTGAAAAAAATTTAGCAGAAAAATTCTGCAGAATAAAAATAAGTTCTTCAGAATTATTCTGGTTTTGTTACATCCATGTCACGCAACATTGAATTGTTGCGCAACTGTTGAGCAGAATTCTGCAGAATTATTCTGTCTATCCTATGCAACAGATTCCTTCTGATGAAAATTTATGTCTCCTTACTTTAATTAACAACAATTTCTTATATTGAAACGTTGTTTGTAAAAATATAGAAGTAAATGAATATGTCTTTCTGATTTTCATAAAGTTTTAGCTTAGTTAAATTGCATTTTTGAAACACTTCATTTTTAAAGTTTCCGTTGAATGATAATCACCAAAATTTACATCACCAAAATTTTAACTACTTTAATGCTCCCTTTTTTCGCAAAAAAAAACAAACATGGTATGCAGCACATTAAGATTATTTCGTGTCATTCTTGATGTTCAATGGCTTAAGTTTATTGTTTGAACACAATTGACAACAAATTTGACTTAGTTCGTTCAGTTAATTTTTTTTGTTGATCTTTTATATTGTGTGAAATTTAATTAAAAATGGATTTTTCTATAGTTTCTGGAAAGCGTGATAATTCAGAAATTTATCACATTAATATATATAAATATAGGTGAAGTTATTCCTGCACAGTGACGGAATAAAGTCGACATACAATATTTTTCGGCATCATTCCGCCGCCGCGACGGAATAACTTCACCTATATTATGTAGGTGAAGTTATTCCGGTATGAAGCGGTAATAACTTCACTTATATTAAGTAGGTGAAATTATTCCGTCGCGACGCCGGAATAACTTCACCTACATTATACAGGTGAAGTTATTACCGACCTGAGCAAAAAATATTTTCGATATTATTCCGGTACCGTGTTTTTTTTAATAGGTGCAGTTATTCCGTGTCGGCGTTATTACTGGGTACCGAGTTTGCATACATTGACTACGATTATGAGCCGTACAATGTCATTTATAACACTTTTAAAATCTTTTATTAAAAATTAGTCGATAATTTGACACACAAACACACACGCACACACACACACACACACACACATGTAAAAATGCTTCAATCCGTTTCCATAATTTTCAATTTCGTTTAAAATCTTAGTTTTGAAATAAATCAATAAAATTACATGGCTTCAATAAAATAAAGCTAGACTTAACAAATTTCATCAATCAATTACTTATGGGGTCGTTCACTTATGACGAATCAAAAATCCTGATTTTTAGACCCCCCTCCCCCCCCTCTGTCACAAAAATTCTATAGAAAAAAATTTCCATTGTTTGAACTGTCACAAAATCTTAGACCCCCCCCCCCCCCCCCCCCTAAATGTCGGACGTCATAAGTGAACCTATGATATATGAATGATTGCTTAGCTACGCTGAGATTTTTGTTGTGATTCCTAATTTTAAGCCTGATTAATTTAAAATTCTTAGTAATTTTAAATGTTTTGAAATGTGGCAAACACCTTTTGAAATCCATTGAAATTCATTGACAGTCTGAACTTTTATTTCATTCAAAGAAGTCAAAAATGGAGGCTTTCAAAATTCAACTGATTTTAATTAAATTAAGTGGAATTTTGAAATTTCCATCAGAAAGAATTAAAGTTTTTGTTAAGATTTTCATTTTCTTTAATTTTTTCGTAACATTTTTATGCATTTTATCATCAATAATATTTGCATTTAAATCGAATGATATATTGAGTATTTCTGAAAGCATGGCACCGACATTTACATCTGTTTTTATCATAACCAAGTATACAGTTTTCAATCTTTATTTTGATGAATTCTATTATATTATGGTTAAAATAAATGAACTTAATGGAAAATGTAAGTTTATTTGATCAAAAACCCAAAAATGTCTGTCTGATAATCTAAAACTATATTTCAGGGATCGAAGAATCAAAGTTCAAGGATATCATCATCAAAGCAAATAAATTCAGCGATAATATAACGAAATTTTTAACATTTGGGTGCATTGTTGCTGGATCATTTTATGTCTTGAAACCTTTGTTAAATGTTTTCGCAGATTATTTTATATTTGATCTTGAACCTATTTATGAACTGCCATTTCGAGCTGATTTTATTATTGATACCAAAACATCACCTGGATATGCAATTGCATACTTTATTCAATTTTGTTTAACTTACTTTCTTGTTGTATTTACTGTGAGTTCTAAGGCTGGCTATTCGGGACCCTAATCGGGTACCTCGAGTAGCCAGATTTGAATTTTTATAATTTTATTAAAGAATGATTTTTTTTTATATAAGGCTGCAGGTGGAGGAACCTTCTGTTGCTACTGTTTAAACATATCAGCACATTTTAAAATTCTTCGAGAAATTGTTAACGATTCAGAACTGGAAGAATTTGTAAAATATCATCGACAACTAATTTCACTTGTTAAGAAGTTAAACAATCTTTATCAGCCAATAATATTCATTGAATTCATAATTGTTGCTATCATTTTATGTGTCACCGGTGTGCAAATCATCATGCTTGACGATTTTGGTAAAATATTGGCAGCTGTGCTTCACTCTGTTGCTAGTTCAACTGATGTAACCATTTACTCTTATGGTGGTCAAATTATTTTAGATTCTGCATTATCAGTTTGTGATGAAGCCTATAAATTGGATAAAAATTACATTTTCATATTAATGATGGGTCAAAGAGAATTAAAATTTGACACTGGATTATTTGATGCATCCTTAAATACTTTAGCTAAAATGTTAAGCAGGTCAATGTCATTTATTACTTTATTAAAGTCATTAATTAAATGAATTCAAACTTTGTTGTCTGAAAAAACTTAAAATAAAAATTTGAATGTCTGAATGAAATTAATTTTTTAAATTCATCAAGAATCCTTTAACTTTCAGTTTGAATTCTCTTATTAGGCTTCTTAAAAATTTAATCCAAAGCTATCATTTTGACACCTTGTTATATCATTTAAGAATTAAAGAATAATAAACTATGATTACAGACATTGATGTTCTGTGCACTTCTTTTTTTGATCACTTTAAGAAATGAAAGAACAACTTTATGACTCTTTTCAGTTCTTAGTATTAAACAATTTGTTTGAGATTGAATCAGCAATTTTTTTTAAGTTTAAATAAATCAATTCTCAGAGTTTGAAAATAAAATGAAAATTGCTCTATTTTGAAAATAAATCAAAATGAAAATTATGAAAATTGCCAATTTTGATCAAAGCAATTTTGCCATTTTGTCAATTTCAGAAAATTGTTATTTTGGAAATTGTTTATTTTCAAAAATTGCAATTTTGGAAATTATCAATTTTCAATTTTGTGACGTCACAAAATTTCTTCGGGAATTTTGTATGAAAATTTTCATATAAATTGATGACTTTATGCTTGAAACTTTCCTTGATTTTTAATCAAAACCATTATCAGCAATCATAGCAGCAAATGATGAAAATTAATAACGAATCATAAGTACTGCGCTATATGAGATATCCCATATGGAACTGATTATGTCCAACTGACTGGAACTGCCAAAAAAAATTTTATTTGTTTTCTATACTTTTTAGACACTTTCAGGCATGGGGTGGAACCAGGCACTTCCTCTACTTCCAGATCTGATTTTAGGTGCTAACTATACCAGGGAGGTTCCAAAAAATCAGGTTAGCAAAAAAGTTCGGAAAATTCAGCAGTTCCTCTCCCCTAATAAAATTTACATCGAACATGTTTTTCATACATTTTCAGAAATGATTTTTTTTTTTTGATAATCATGTCTGTATGGTGATGCAGCATTGCTGATACTCAATTAACAAGATGATTTATTATTAAATAAAGGATCTGTTTTACTTTGATGTTTTTGCATTTTATTGCTTAATTTCCAGTTTTCTTGAATAATCGTGACATAAATAGTTTTGAAAATTAAGTCTAGAAGTAACGGAAGTGCTTAGTTTAACTCCATGCCTTAAAAGTGTGTAAACCTTCATTAAAAGTGTTAAACATTTTAAAAATTTTTTTTGCAGTTCCAACCAGTTGGATACGACACAATGCATGTGAAATATCATAGATATTAATGTAATAATGTTTTGACATTCAAAAATTATGATTATGAGCATTATGAGTACCTTTAATTTAAAATAAACTTAAAGGAACAACGCATCAAACACGCAGGAATTAGCAAGTATTAAGTTAAAAACGAATATCAACATCCAGGAAATAAACTGTATCTTTTGTTTTTCTGAAGAAAAAATTCATTTAAAAAGAAGAAAATTTTCATACAAAATTATTCATCAAATATTTATGACGTCACAAAAATAAAAATTGATAATTTCCAAAATTGCAATTTTGGAAAATAAACAATTTTCAAAATTGCAATTTTCTGAAATTGACAAAATTGCAAAATTGCTTTGATCAAAATTGGCAATTTTCATAATTTTCATTTTGATTTATTTTCAAAATAGAGCAATTTTCATTTTATTTTCAAACTCTGTCAATTCTTAATAAATTGTAGTAAAATGGAAGAATTCAAAATTCAGTTGAAATTACTAAAGTTTTGTGGTTTCGAAATGTTTCCATCTAAAAATATGAAAATAGTTTTAAATTTTCTAATTTTGATAAATTTCTTTTCAACCTTTTATTGTATTTTTTCTTCAATAGCATTTGTGTATGATTTGAATGACATTCTTATCATAGCTGAGACTATGTCGCCTACTTTTACAGAAATATTTACTATCATCAAGTATGTCATATTCTTGATCTACAGGAAACAGTTCTTTGATGCAATTGAAATTATTGAAAATCTCAATCAAAAGTGTAAAAAATTAAAAAATAATTGAATCTGAAACTAGTCATAAAGTATCATAATCTATTTAATTTCAGGGACCATATTAAGCCAAGAAAACTCGGTCATCGTGGAAAATAACAAAATATGTTCAATAGCATCAAAAACAATTATATCTGCATACTTTGTAACTTCAACTTTTTACGATTTTAAACCAATAGTTGTTGCCTTTAATGATTATTGGATCCAAAACACTCAACCTAATTATGACTTTCCCTTCAAATCAAAATCATTCTACGATACAACAAAGTCTCCAGCGTATGAATTAACTTATCTTATTCAAATCTATACAACATACTTTTCGGCTGCATTCAATGTAAGGACAAACTTTAATGAATGCAAAACATAATTCAATTTCATAAATTTTAGGCAGCATGTGCGATAACTTTTTATTGCTTTTGCATGAATATTTCAGCTCATTTTAGAATTCTTCGAAAAATAATACTTGAAATAGAATTAAATGACTTTGTTAAGTATCATCAAAAAGTTATTAAAATCACAAAACAATTAAGCAAACTCTATAAACCAATAATATTAACCGAATTTATCTTAGTAACAACAATCTTATGTGTTTCTGGACTACAAATCATCATGTACAAAGATTTTGATAAAATTATTGTTGCATTGCTGCTTAATTTAAATGCTTTCTGTGATGTGGCAATTTATGCGTTTGGTGCTCAAAAAGTTCTAGACTCAGCTTTATCTGTTTGCGATGAAGTTTATGTGGCTGATAGAAACTATTTAATAATTATGATGATTACACAAAAGGAATTAAAGTTTGATGTTGGACTATTTCATGCTTCTCTGCACACGTTGTCAACAATACTTAGTCGAACTTTGTCATTTATAACTTTATTAAAGTCATTTGCTAAGTAAAGATTAAGTCAAGTGTAAAGATTATTAGACTTTAAAAATCATTAATTTGTTTCTTAAAAACAATCATTTAAAGCCCAACAAAACTTGTAATTTTAATATCCTTTAAAAATCATTAATCTGTTTCACTGAATTATAATAAAAAATGAATAACTTTATCGGAATTTTCTTCTTTTTTTACAACTGATAAGTGGTGTTTTTTCACACTTTTAACTCATTCTATAGCTCATTTCCAAATAAGAAGCAGAAATAAAAAGTTCGACATTTTCAGTCAATCAAAAAACTTGAATTTATTTGTCAACTGCTACATAAAATGGACAACTTTGGATTTCCTTTAAAATTGTTGAAGATTTGTGGTTTTGAAAGATTTCCATCAGATCAAAGAAGAAAAGTTTTAAAATACTTGCTTTATTGGAATTTCTTGTTAACTTCTTATTGCATTCTTACATCACTGGTCTATTTGCTCTACTCGAAGGATATCCTTACAATATCAGAAACAATGTCACCAACTTTTACAGAACTTTTTACAATCATTAAATATGGAGTATTTTGGATGTACAGTGAGAAGTTCTTTGATGCAATAGAAGAAGTAGAAAAACTTAATGAAAAGTGTAAGTTCAAGCCGGTTTCTGGGACTACTCAGCATAGCTACTTTCTTATAAGTTTATTAATATCTAGCAACATAGTAACTTAGAATCAGGTCTTAAGGATTAAGTTTGCAGAATGATAAATTTTACTCAAGGCGTGGAAACTCAGGATTAATCCTGAAAAATCCCGAAAATCCTAAAAGATCCCTGAGCCAATAAACATGAAAATGTGAAATTCTTTTAAATCCCGAAGTTATTCATCAAATTAATCAGGGATTTCACATTTCAATGTTTATTGGCTCAGGGATCTTTTAGGATTTTCGGGATTTTTCAGGATTAATCCTGAGTTTCCACACCTTGATTTTTTTTTTCTTTTTCGGGGTCTCAATTGCACAAGCAAAATTCCATCATCATCAAAATCAACAAGTTAAGTTCAAAACTTTTATTTATTTTCACTTCCTCAGCTTTTCTAGCTGCAACTTTTTATTCTTTTAAACCTTTGTTTGTCGATTTTCTGGATTATTTTATATTTAAATCAAAACCTAAGTTTGAGCTCCCATTCAATACCAAGTCATTCATTGATACAACAACATCACCAGGATATGAAATAACTTACTTCATTCATATTTGTACAACATACTTTCTAGCTGCCTTTAATGTGAGAAAAGTTAAAATAAAATAAGATAAAAAATAAGAAAAATTTATTTTTCAGGCAGCTTGTGGAACTACTTTCTTCTGTTTCTGTATGAATATTTCAGCACATTTCATAATTCTTCGTGAAATAATCTTGGAAACTGAATTGGAAGACTTTGTAAAATATCATCAAAAAATTATTGGAGTCACCAAGAAAGTCAGCAAGCTCTTCAAGCCAATAATATTTACTGAATTTATCTTAGTGACAACAATCTTATGTGTTTCTGGACTACAAATTATCATGTCTAATGATTTTAGTAAATTTTTTGTGGCTTTGTTCCTAAATTTAGCTGCATTTGGTGATGTAGCAATTTTCTCATTTGGTGCTCAAAAAGTCCTAGACTCAGCTTTAGATGTTTGTAATGAAGTTTATGTTGCTGACAAAGATTATTTATTAATTATGATGATTACACAAAAGGAATTAAAGTTTGATGTTGGACTATTTCATGCTTCTCTTCACACATTGTCAGTAATATTGAGTAGAACTATGTCATTTATAACTTTATTAAAGTCATTTGTTAAGTAGCTAATTAATTTGGATATGAAAACCATAGCAACAAAAATTAGGGAATATTTTTGGGAGGTTGCAGAAATTAAATTTAAAAAGTTTCAAAAAAGAAAAATAGTCCTCCTTAATAAATTTCCAGTATATTGATTAATCTCATGGTGTTCTCCTACATTAGCTACATTCATTTTTAATACTTTTAAATTATAGATTTTTATTTGCTTGTCTTTTCTGGCAAGTGGGACATTTTGTTAAGTTAACCCTGTGTTTTGTAAATATTAACTTTATTGTATAATGAGCACTTTGGTCAATAAAACTACTTGTTACAATCCAAAATCCAAAAACCAATTTTAGAATATATAAAAAGCTATTTCAAATTATTAAACTTTATTGTTTAGTAGTTTACGAAACATTACATCGATTACATTACAAAAATAATATTAAAATCATGAATCAAGAATTTCAAATTCATTTAAAAGTTTTAAATTTTTTCAATTTCAATAAAACTCAGCCAAAAAAGCAGAGAAGTTTTATTAAAAAGTTGCATATTTTCAATCTTCTTGTTCATTTGTATTGCTTATTTACTCAAATAACTTTCATTACTCAAAACTATAACAATGTATTTGAAATATCAGAATGTGTCAGTCCTTTATCTACTTTATCAATGACACTTGCTAAATTTTATATTTTATGCATTTATTATTATAAATTTTTTGAAATGATTCAGGAAATTAAACTTATGAACGAGAAATGTAAGTTTATTAAATATTTTTATAATAATAACTTTTTTTTCTTAAATAAATCTTTCCAGGGAAGTCCACAACCGATTGGAAAATAATCAAAAGAGCGAATGAATTCAGTTTGAAATATTCTTTGATATTCACTGGATGTGCTTTTATAGCAGCCACATGTTATATTGCTACGCCGATCATTAATGATTGCATTAGTTATTTTATTTTCAATGTCGAGCCTACATATGAAATGCCATTTAAATCTGCTTTCCTTTATGACATCAAAAAGTCTCCAGCATATGAACTTACATACCTGACAATTGTTTACTGGACATACATGGTTATTGGAATCAATGTTTGTATAAAAGCTGAATTGCTTTTAGAATTAAATTTTAATTGTTCTATGTAATTTTAGATTGTGGCAGACACATTTTTCCTGACAAGCTGCATGAATATTTGCGCGCATTTTGAAATTCTTCGAACAAAAATTAATATTATGGATGTAAAGGAATTCGTAGTTTATCATCAAGACATCCTTAATTTAGGTTCAAATTTACAGTTTCTATTCAAAGAAATTGTGTTTGTTCAGTTTGTTGCCATGACATTATTACTTTGTGTCGATGGATTTCAAGTAATTGAATTTGAAGGAATGTCAAAAAAGTTCAATGCATTCTTTCATACAGCTACTGCGCTCATTGACTTATTTATCTATTCATATGGTGGTCAGCTAATTATGGACAGTGCAATGTCGGTTTGTGATGAGAACGAAAATATCGATAAAAGTTATATAATCATCCACATGAAAGCACAAGCTGAATTAAAAATCGATACTGGATTTTTCAATGCATCACTGCCTACATTTAGCACAATACTTAACCGTGTCATGTCTTTAATAACGTTGCTACAATCATTTGTGTAATTAACAAATTAGCCATTTGGGGGTGGGAGATGAATCTACGCACTATGAATTTACGATTTGATTCTAAATTATTCAAAATAAAAGAACAATCTTTTTTAATAGCCATGAAATAACCATGAAATAATTTCTTTCAAAATTCCATAGGGGCCGTTCATTTATTACGTTGCGCAAAAAAACGACTTTTTTCACCCTCCCCCCCTTGTTACAATATGTTACAATTCACAAGACCCCCCCCCTTGAACGTTCATAATTTATTTTATTTTGATAAAAAGGTGGAAAATTTAAAAAAATGTTTTTGGTGTGAATTTGTAAACAATTTTTTTTCGTAGACTCGGTTTTGAGTCGACTTTTAGCTCTGGTCAAAATTGATACCTTTGATTTTCCATTTTATTTAAAATTACTGAAATGTTGAATTTAAGCTTCTTTATCTCCTTAATTTTCCAGGCATTTTTAAATCGATTGGCGGCTTTAATTACTTTATTGCAATCATTTGTGTAATTAAAATTATGTGACAAATGAGGAGGGGGCTGTAAATCTGAGTTTTTGAATCTTTTGGGAATATAACTTAAATACGCATTATTTGTAAAATTATCAGCAAAATAGGACAAATCACATGTTCTTAACAGTCTTTATTTTTAAATTAGAGGGTTTAAAAAGTTAAGTGCTCACATAGTCTGGTATTTTCCCAAATTTGATATTTTCAGGAATTTAATTTGATATTTCTAGAAACCTATGTGATTTAATAATATTAAATTCATTTAATAATAGCTTATTTATGTAGAAATAAAGCGTCATTTTACTTTTTAAATTCACTTTTCAATTCACAGTTTTTAAAAATAGTAAGAATTCAAACATTGTCTCAAGCACGTTGAAAAAAGATAGTAATATGGATGAGGAGTTTAGAATTCAATTGCTAGCGATGAAAATGTTTAATTTTAATAAAAGTCAGCCAAAAGTTGACAGATACTTTGCGATAATTTTTCAAATCTTCAACTTGTTGATTATTATTTATTGTCTATTTGGACATGGATTGTTTATAGCATTAAACTATAAGAATGTTCTTAAAGTATCCGAATGTATAAGTCCTATTTCACTTACATTACTGTCTCTTGTGAAATTTTATGTGATTTGTTTTCGTTATTACAAGTTCTTTGATGTGATTGAAGACATAAAATGTTTAAATGAGAAATGTGAGTATGAAAATTTAAAACTTTTAATAAACAAATTTGATGATTATTTAAAAATTTGATAGGGAAATCAACAAAAACTTGGATTATCATCAAAAAAGCAAATGAATTAAGTTACAAAGTCACTTTAACATTTACGTTTATGATCTTTTTGGCAATCATATTTTTCATATCTACACCACTCATTAATGATTTTATTTACAATCCAGAACCTTCTTATGAAATGCCATTCAGATATGCTTTTCTTTATGATGTCAAAAAATCTCCAGCATATGAATTATCGTATTTGATTGCAGTGTACTGGGCTTGCATGGCATGTGGAATCAACGTAAATTAATTTAATTTAATAATTCTTTCATTTTAATGACTTTTTATTTGCATTTTTAGATTATTGTGGATACATATTACTTGACATGTTGCCTGAATTTATGTGCTCATTTCAAGATTCTGCGAACAAAAATTAATGACATGAATTTGAAAGAATTCGTGGATTATCATCGAAATATTCAAGACATAACTTCGAAATTCACAAACATTTTCATGGAAATTGTGTTTTTTGAATACTTTTTTATGACAATATTGCTGTGTGTTGATGGATTTCAAGCTATTGAAGTTAATGGAATGCTTAAAAAAATAAACTTTTTATTCCATACAATAAATTCACTTTTAGATTTGTTTATATACTCTTATGGGGGTCAGATACTCATGGATAGTGCAATGTCTGTTTGTGACGAGAATGAGAAGATTGACAAGAACTATGTTTTCTTATTAATGAGAGCACAATCAGAGCTAAAGATTGACACTGGGTTCTTTAGTGCAACATTGCCTACTTTTTGCACAATTTTAAATCGAGTTATGTCCTTAATTACATTACTTCAATCATTTATTTAATTTTTAAAATCACACCTAATCCGTCTCAAAAGTCTCAAAAATAAATTTTTACTTTGTTATGGAAATATTAGACATCAGAGCTCGAAGTCGACTCAACTTTTCTCAAATCAATTTCATTTCTTTCGAGTCAACTTCTTCTACAACAAAAATTACCGAATTGACTCGAAGTCGACTCAAGTCGAACTCTTAAGGGGCCGTTACAATATGTTACCCCCCCCCCCCCCCCCGGAACATTCATAATTTATTTTATTTTGATAATTTTTCATAAATCATTAAAAAGGTGGAAAATTTAAGACAGACGACAGTTAGAACGTTACATACTTCTTCACACCCTCCCCCCTACTTTACATTTTATTACAATTTTTCAAACCCCTCCCTCCCCTAAAATGCGAACGTAATAAGTGAACGGCCCCCCTAAGATGTCAAATGTTCAAATAAAATGAAGATTAAAATAAATTTTCGATTATGTAAAAATTGTGATTCTGAAAATGTTAAATTAATGGAATTGTTGTATCAAATAAATTAAACTAAATGTCAAGCGTTAAATCTCTTCATTGGCTTTTATGATAGGAAAGATGATGACGTTAAACATGATAATAACATATATGGAAATGCTAGCCTGATTTCTCAAGGGAGAAAAATAAAAATAATAATAATAATAATAAAGAAAAACTTTCTATATTCTTCACAGTAATAAAACTATCATTAATTATAAACTAGAGACTTCCACATGAAATGAAAAAAATTGTAAACTTTATTAGCATTAGCAATGGTTGGCACTAAGGGGAAGGAAATGAAATTACAAAAAATATATTATTTGTTTTTCCTATTTTCTCTCTTTTTAGCGCATTTTTGAAACTTGTTTCTAAATGGTAGCTTAATATTGCACTTTGTTCGGATGCTCGTTCGGGTGAAGAAAAACTTTTTAACCAGATATCGTAGAGATCTCGGGTTTGTTTTATTAGCTCAGTTCTATCGAGTTATTGGCCGATCGAACAGTTAAAAGTCTTAAACAATGGCTTTGTGCTATAATTAATGATTTTTTTAAATTCAGTACTGTGCAACTTGTTCAATTTTTTGACTCCCTCTATAATTTCAACATTACCTCTATAATTTCAAATATTTATTGACCGTTAGAAAATTTGAATTCCAAAAAACCGTTAAAATTCTATCTTTATGGAAATTCATTCTAATTATTTGTTAATTACACTCAAATGAATAATCTTCTAATCTTCTAATGATATGTAAACGAACGCCAAACAATTAGATAATCAAATACTGATCGCTGACACA